CACGGGAAAGGTCAGGGCAGGTTGTCCTGGATTTCTCCAGTGTGTCTGTGTGCAGCAGAAATAGAGCCATGTTTCAACATCACTGCTTTTCTTTTCCTTTGTGCTGGTAGGTATGGAGTCACAGAATACCCCAATCACAGAATGGCCCGGGTTGGAAGGAACCTCAAGGATTATGAATCTCCAACTCCCCTCCTAGAGGCAGGACTGCCAATCTCCACAATTAATACTACACCAGGCTGCCCAGGGCTCCATCCAACCTGGCTTTGAACACTTCCAGGGACAGAATGGACCCACGAGGACCATTCCCAGTGCCACACAAGACAGCCTATAAAATCACAGAGTCACTTTTTTCTACCACTTCGACCCCAGTGCTGGTAAGCACCAGCAGCCACTCACGCTGCCATCTGAGTCACTGCTCTGTCACCCGTTGGCTTCAGATGGAGATGACTGCCCTGAGAACAAGACAGCTTTTTTAATTAAATGGGTTTTAATTGAAACAAGTGAACCGACAGATGAAATTAAACTGCGGCTGCAGTGACAGACTTCTTAACTAATGCCTTCTAAAGCGGTTACGATTTACATTTTGAAAAGATACAGGAAGCTCATTAAAGCTGGAACAAACAGCTTGGCAGGCCAGGCTGGGGGGAAGCGGCTGTGCCACCGCAGCCACTCTGGATGAAAGATATCCAGAACGATAGCAGCTACTGGAGGTTAATAATAATGCTGTTGGTGTCATGGCTGTCCTCCCCAGGACTGACTTTGTGAAGAAGGTCAATGATTTTATCTCTGATGTTCAGCCACAAAATGCCAGGCACAGAATAGTAACTTCCCTGGTGTTGAGCGAGCTCAGTTGAGTTGCATGGCGTTCTGTAGTTGTGGGTGATTTCCAGCAGAAAGTCTGGAATGTGCCTCTTTTTTTGGGAATGCCTCTGTTTCCATGAAACTTTACCTAGGAGCCATGCTGTACAATTTGCAGCCAGAAGATCTGAATAAAACAGCGCAGACAAATAGGTAGAAGGACACTCACACAGCCAAACTCCTGAACCAGGAGGTTTAATGCACTAATCAGGGACAGCCCCAGTTACGTGGCAGGACATTTAAACCTGCACACCCTGCCTGGCTTCATTAAGGTCTTGCTTTTGTTTCAGTACACACCAAGAAATGGTGGAGAATCACTTCTCACCCACACTGCTCTTGCAGCTTAACCCAGCACCCTGCCTGCTGGGCTGAGTCACACCACAAAGGTAAATCCTCCTCTGCAGCTACACAGGAGGAGAGCCTCGGAATTTCAGTCCTACGGATTTTGCTTCACGAATGTGTTGTCTTTAATCCCCTATAAGCACAGCAGTCTCCACCTCCAAATACTTTTGAAGACTCACTCCAGGAAATCTTGAGCCTCACTGGGTTGCTTTTAAATTTCTATTTTTATGGCATTATTTGGCTCAGATCTTCCCCCAGCTTTTAAGGAAAAAGAGGCCCTGAGCTGATCTCCAGATCTTACTGCCTGCACCACTCAGGTGCATATCTGTCTCAGAGAGCAGCTGGGAATATCTGAATATCTGTCCCAGAAGCAGCTGGGATGAGCAGGCACTCAGATCTTCAGAGCAGAAATGAACAGCCATGAAATACATTACCGTCAGGCAAACCTTGTGATGGTTTCAAAACTAGAGCACTTCCTGACATGCCATGGACTCTAAAGCAGGAAGATGAAAATGAATAGGAACTGTCCCATGTTGAGAAACAAGTTCATAGAATAATAGAATGGCCTGGGTTGAAAAGGACCATAATGATCATCTAGTTTCAACCTCCCTGCTATGTGCAGGGTCACCAACTACCAGACCAAGCTGCCCAGAGCCACATTCAGAGCTGCTGTTCTGCTCTACAGCAGAGCCCTGACACACTGATCTCTGCACACAAAAACTTCAGTAACTCCAGCACAAGAAACAAACGCAAACAGAACCTAATTTTCCTTTAGCTTGTTTTCACACGTCTTAATTTTGCAGTTTCATTAACAAGATCTAAGACTGTGTTTTGATTATGGCTGTTACTTCTATTCAGATTTTTCTGTTTAAGGTAAAGGAGCAAGCTTAGCTGATATTGGAGTTGTGGCTCTATAGATGCTTGGAGGAGGTGCTGAGCTAACACTTGGTTCACCCCAGTCCCAGTTGGTCACTCCCATGTACAAGGCATCAGCTCATTGTATCAATAAAATATATCTGTAGCTCTTTCAATACACACAGCATTTCTGGCACACTGATAGGAGACCTCCCACCATCTGATCCTGCCATTCTGAGTGCTTCCTGGAAGGTGCTGGCACAAAGGAGTGGATGCAGAAATGCATCCATTCGCTAACACATTTATGGCTGAGTGTTTGGAAGAATACCAAAGGTACATATCCAAGTGGCAGGGAGCAGGCACAGAAAAGTGTTATTTCACCCTGTAAATATGTTGTTACACAAAAGTTACATCTATACTGTAAATCTGGGCATGCTGAAGCACTGGAAAATAATCATCTATGCAGGAAAACTGTGAGCAAGTTCCCTGGGACAAATTGTGGTGCTCATTTGCTTTTTCCTAGATAATTCCCAGCTACAGAACAGTCCAAGAATACCTCCCAGCAGCCAGCTCACATCTAGTCACCTTCTTCTGGAAAGCAAGACACTTTCCAAGACCAGCAAGGAAGAGGGCATTTTGTGCCAGCTGGCCACAGGGCTGAGGGCACAATTCTTTCCTGGCCCCAAAACTGTCAGTCTCAGGATCAAGCAATGAGGAAATCGCTTAGGTTTGCAGATTTGGGATTGCTTCATTCCCACTGTAGTGCAGTATTTGCGCTGAGTGGGATGAGGTTAACTCGCTAACACCCACAACTCATCACAGCCTTCACACTGCACTGCTAATTCACATAGGTTTTCCTAGCATCTTGGTAGGGAGTCAGCCTCAAAGCCCTTGGAATATGAAAGAAATCAGAGGAATGCTTTGCTTATTAAAGGAACCAGACGGACTTTCAAAGATCTAAACAAGGAAATATATAGAAAGGCATCTGCAAGATAGAGCCCCAGGGATGTAACATGGTTCTGAGGAAGACCCAGGTGGCACAACCAAACAGCTGAGCAACTGAGTCACTATTTCATCTCCTGCAGAGTTGAAGCTGTTTCTATATGGCATAATGGTGACACCTACAGGAAAAACTCATCTTCTACCTCTGCATCCCACCGAGGCTTAGATGACAGCACATCTTTAACATGACCATGCTATTAAGGGCTGTAGGGATCACGCTGTACCACTCGCACAAACAAGGGCTGGCTGCAGACCAAGGCCATTAGCTGGATGATGACAAAACAGCATCCAGGAGCAACCATCTCCCTTTACACCAGCCTACTGCTAACAAGCAGAGCAGAAATGACAGCAAGTTAGGCAATCAAACAAACAAACAAAAGTAAAATCACTGCAATAATGCAGTGCAATAATGCAATAATGCAATGATAATGATTTCTGGATACATTTTACTTGCTATGTGCTGGTGTATGGCTGCAGGATATTTGAGCACCCAGACTGCTTTGGGCTGTCACACAGAGAATCATAGAACGGCTTGGGTTGGAAGGGACCACCAGGACCTCCCCTGCAGGGCTCCTTTCCAGCAGCTCAGCCCCCAGTCTGGACTGATGCACCCTGCTATCTTTCCTCCCCATGTGCAGGACCCCACGCCTGCTGTCATTGGGATGCTCCACTTGGCAGGACAGCAGCATTGATGTCAGAGGGCTGAGCACGTGAAGCCAGGCTCAGGGAGCTGGGCTTGTTCAGCCTAGAGAAGGCTGCGGGGTGACCTCATTGCAGCCTTCCAGTATTCAAAAGGGGGTCATAAAAAGGAGGGGAATCAACTTTTGACTCGGTTACCACAGAATGGCCAGGGTTGGAAGGGACCTCAAGGATCATGAAGCTCCAACCCCCTGCCACATGCAGGGCCACCAACCTCCACATTTAATACCAGCCCAGGCTGCCCAGGGTCCCATCCAACCTGGCCTTGAACACCTCCAGGGATGGACGGGGCATCCACAGCCTCTCTGGGCAGCTGTTCCAGCACCTCTCTGTAAAGAACTTCCCCCTGACATCCAACCTAAGTCCCCCCTCCCTCAACTTCAAACCGTTTCCCCTCGTCCTGCTGTTATCTACCCTTTCAAAGAGTTGATTCCCCTCCTGTTTATAGGCTCCCTTTAGGTACTGAAGGCTGCAACGAGGTCACCCCACAGCCTTCTTTCCTCCAGGCTGAACAAGCCCAGCTCCCTCAGCCTGTTCTCATAGCGGAGGTGCTGCAGCCCCCTCATCATCTTCATGGCCCTCATCTGGACCCTCTCCAACAGCTCCCTGTCTGATAAGGGCTAGATAGAAATAAGACAAGCGGGGAATGGTTTTAAGCTTTAAGGAGGGAAGGTTTCGATTGGATATCAGGGCAAAATTCTTCACAGAAAGCAGTGAGGTGCTGGAACAGCTGCCCTGAGAAGCTATGGGTGCTCCATCCCATTGCGCTGCTCAATCACCAGGTTGGATGGAGCATTAGGCAGCCTGGGCGAGTGCCAGATGCGGAGGTTGGTGGCCCTGCATATGGAAATTCATGATCCTTGGGGTCTATTCCAACCCAAGGCACGGTTAGCTTAGAACAGAGCAACGATCGCCACACGCAGCCTCACGACCGCGCGCCCGCCCTCCGCCTGAGGCGCCTCCCCCCCTCGCGGGGCGGGGCGGGGCGGAACGTACCAAGAGCCGCCCCCCCCCCCTTCCCTTCTCCCTCCCCCCTCTGCCCGGACGCAGTGGTTGCGGCGGGGCGGGCCGTGCCGGCGCTCGGGATGGACGCGGTGCTTCTCGCCGTTGCGGCCGCGTTTCTCGCCGTCCTTCTCTTCTTCGCCACCCGCTTCAGCCGCTCGGCTCCTGCAGGTGGGTTGGCGGCGGTACGGTCGGGTTCGCAGCCCCGAGTTCTGCTTCTCCTCTGCGCTGGGGGCGAGGGGCATCTCTATGGTAACTGTGTGTGTATGGGGGGGTGAGGCCTCGCCTCGGGCCTTCCCCTGCAATAGGCACGGTTCCTCTCCCGGCCATCCCAGCGCTGAGCACGCAGCTCCGTTTGGGGATGGGATGATGATGCATTTCCACCTCGGCGTGGCTGGAGATACCCTCGGTCCAACCCCCCCATACAGCACTTCCCCATAGCAGGGCGCACAGGAAAGCATCCAGGTGGGTTTGGGTACCTCCCCACCGCCCCCTTCGTAGCGAGGAAGCTCTTCCTCGTACTTCTGTAGAGCTTCCTGGGCTTTGTTTTGTGCCCGCTGCCCCCTGTCCTGATGCTGGGCACTGCTGAGAACAGCCTGGCCCCATCCGCTTGGCAGCCACTCGTTTATTATTGATAAGCGCGGATCAGATCCCTCTCAGCCTTCTCTTCTCCAGGTGAACACCCCCAGGGCTCTCAGCTTTTTCCCTGTTCCAGCTGCCCATCATCACAGTCAGCACTGTGCTGGGCTCTCTCCAGTGGTTTTCTGCCTGCCTGCACTGGGGAGCCTGGCACTGTGGCATTGGTTGTTTGTCTTTCTGCTGTGGGCAGTAAGGTAGCTTTAATATTGTTGCTTGTTTTTTTCCATAGGGAGAAAATACCTTTAGTGCAAGCAAAGAGTCATAAGAGTCTATACTGATCAGTTAAAAGCAGGGTCACCAACCAGCAGACCAGGCTGCCCAAAGCCACATCCAGCCTGGCCTTGGATGCCTCCAGGGATGGGGCATCCACAACTTCCTTGGGCAACCTGTTCCAGTGCTTCACTGCCCTCTTAGTGAAAAAATTCCTCCTAATATCTAACCTAAACCTCCCCTGTCTCAGTTTAAAACCATTCCCTCTTGTCTTATCACTATCCACCTCATAAACAGCCGTTCCCCCTCCTGTTTATACACTCCCTTCAAATACTGGAAGGCCACAATGAGGTCTTCCCAGAGCCTTCTCTTTTCCAAGCTAAACAAGCCCAGTTCCTTCAATCTTTCCTCACAGGAGAGGTGCTCACACCCCTGATCATTTTGATTCCTCATTGCTTAGAGCTGATCTGGGAAAACTGTGATTCCTGCCCTAGAGAGATGAGACTGCTGGAAATGAATTATTTCCTGAGCTTGACTTGTGTAGTAACTTACACGAATCATAAGCTGTGAGGCTGGGGAAGATTTCTCTTTCTCTCCCTCTCAAGCCTATAAAATCCTAACTAAATTGAAGCCCAAATTGTTGTTTTAAATTATCTGGCTCCTCAGGTAGCTTCCATGCTATTTTTGAGCAGTCTGGTTACAATTAGTTTATACTGAGAATAATGTAATTGTTTTGAAGTCACTTCTTCAGCGTCATCTCTGTGACACTTCCTTATTGGTCTCGCCTCATTTTACTGTCTGCCTGAAGAAAATGGACAGCCTGTTTTCTATCAGTAAGAACTCCTCTATGGCATTTCAGTGTGTGGGGATGATTTCATTCTCCTTGCACAACAGAAATTATTTCTTACAACTGCTGAGGTTAAAGTGTATTTGGATTCCTGCTAGATTAAGTCTTCAAGGGGAATTTGTTTTCCTTTGTCTTAGATAGAAAAGGAAGCTGCTGTGGTCCTGCTACTGAATGTATCCTATTACATGGAAAGAACTTGAAACAAGGGAAGCTTGACCTTAGGGAAGTGGTGGTAGCCCTCCTTTCTTAGAATGTTTGAGACTTGGGGAATGACAGCTCTTTGTGCTCTCACTCGCGGAATTACCCTTTAACATCATCAAAAATAGGCTGCTCATCATTTCAGGGGCCAGTGATCAGGTAACTGCTGTGACTTTGTATTTCCTGAGAAAGGTCACTTCAAGCAGCAAGGTTCCAGCAAGCTCATGCCTGGGCTTGTTCTGCTGAGGGTAGAAAAAAGGCAGCCTTGCTGGGTTTGACACACGTGTGGCATATCTGTTTGGAAACGGGCCATTGTAGGATAAGCAGCACCGTGCAAAAGTGCTGCTTCAGGAACACCAAGTCAACTTCCACCTGTTGCATTTTGAGTCACTTTCACATTGAATTTCACAGGATGGGTTTGCAGGAAGGTGAAGGATGCTGTAAACGTCGAGGAAAGCATAGCTGGTGCTTAAGGGTGCAGCAGGTGGAGCTCTGCTCTCCCTGCTGTCTTGAGGACTGCCTCGAAACTTGTCAGCCCAGGTGTTACACTGATGGACTTGCTTATCTGATAGAACTGAATATAACGTGCTGTGATAGGCAAAAGATTGCTTATCAGGGAGAAATTATTTGCTCTGAGCAAGTGGAAATTTGCATAGTTTCAGAAAGGAGCAGGTTTCTACTTGGAGGTTGTAAAATTAGGTCCTAGAAAGCCGAGGTGCTGAAAGATTTCACAGTATTCATTGTAATGATATGATAGTGGTGCTTCATATCCAGATTAGGAAAGAGTTCTGTTTTCTGAGCAAAGTTCTGCTCTGTTTCTCTGAGAGCTCTGATAGCATAAGTGCAGACTCACAGCTACTGTGTGAAATTATTTTACTGCCTCTGCACTGTGCTGATGTCTCTGAAAATGCAGAGCTTTAAGTGTGGCAGCAAACCTGTCCCCTGAAATGAGGTTTTTGCTCCTGTTTTTTGGTTCCTTGGCCTTTTGGAAAGCTGAGAGCAGAGATGTTGAAGCTTGGAATAAAAGCTAAACCAAGCTTTGAAGCCTCATCCGTTTTCCAGACGTCTCTTTAATTTTTTGTTTGTATTGCCTGTTAATTGAAGGCTTTATCTAATTAATTTCTTCTGGCCTGCCATTCTGCAAACCATCAAGCAACTCCCGGATCAATTTGTCTGACCTATATAATGTTGGTCATTGAGTTTCACTTGGATGGCTCTGTATCAAGCCTAATTAGTTCTTGTGTGACTAATCTATGCATGAACTGGCTAGCCTGGGGTGCCGCTCAGTCTGAGACCTCTGCAGCTACAGGAAAATGAACTGAGATATATCCAGATAATCACAGCAGCTGAACCACACCCTGTGCTGCAGAAGGGGGTGAAAAACACCCTGACCTGACAGAAAATCATGCTTGACCCCAAATCTGACAGTCAATCCGGTTCTGAGAATATGAGTAAGGTGGTTTTTAAGTGTATTCTCTGTGCTGTTTGCAACCACCAGTCATAGCCCTGCTTAGTCTGTTATTTCCAGAGCAGGGGGGAGTGAAAAGAGAAGGAGAGCACATTAAATTCCTAGATCTTGGAAGGAGCAGGTGAGTCCTGAGCTGCACAGACACATCTTTGACCCCTGACAAACTGCAGGTATAGGCACGTTGCACATAGATGATTCTTTTCTCCTCCCTCTCATGAAGGATGGATGGATTTGCAAGGAATAAACATCACATTTCCCAGACGATTTCCAGCTGAACGCTTTGCAAAGCAAAGCTGAGGGCAGTGCAAAAGAAAGAGATGCAGTAAAGTGTATCTTTTTCTGCTGAATTACAACCTATTATGTCTAGGTGTCTTCTGTTGCTTGTCTGAATACTTTGGAGATCTGAAAAGATAAGTATTGTCCAACAGCTGCCTCATGGATTTGACCATTGTATAGGTCAGGTTTTGGGTTTTTTTTTTTACTATTTTCTGAGCCCCATTAAAAGCGGTCAGCTTTTGAGATATTGCCGTGTCACTCGGAGAGAATTAATCTGAGGAAACAGGATAGCTTCATTCACACGTGCTTCTCTGTGAAGGGTTAAAAATGTCAGCTTGAAATGAATACGTGGCTCATAAATAGATTCCTCTTTCATAAAATGCAAAGCAGTCTCTGTTTCACAGGACGATAGAAACCAAAACCAAGCCTCAGAATGAATGGACATTAGAGCTTCACAGGTGATGTGCTGTGCAGAACCACCTCTGGAAAATACTGAGGTAGACACATCGAAGCTTGCAGCTGGACAGATGCCAAGGTTTGAATTGCAGGGTATCTCAATAATTTATGGAGAGGAATATTGCATCTGTATAAAAAGTCTTTTTGCAGATTAAGAATATTTCTGGCACTTAGTAACGTTCTCAGTAAGTGAACTGCTATTGTGCAGTACAGTGCTTCCCTCTCTGCTGAATAGCCTTCAGAATAAGCATCATCACGCTACAAATAAGCCTGAGCAAGTCCTGAAGCAGTTATCTGATTGCTAGAGCCTATGTGCTGTCATTTATTACAGCTCTGGTTTGGTCCCCAGACAGAAGGAGTGGATGAGAACAGGAGGGTGACAGCAGTGACTCAATTCAAAATGTCACTGTGTGTGTTTGTGCTCAGAGCTTCCTGGGGGTCTGCTAACAGCATTGTTGCAGCAGGCCTGAACTGCAAATAGCTTTGCTGGTCTAATACTTCCCCTGCTCGCTCTGAGCTCGGTGCTGTTGCAGCTACGTTGTTATTAGCACTGAAGTTGGCTGCTTTGTAGCTAATTGAAGTATATTGGGATGAGCTGCAAGCACACCTTTGATCGTCATGTAGATGTAGTCATAATGAATGTTATTTTCTGATGACAGATATGCTAATGGTAGTTTTATTTAGGAAGGCATTGTTTGGATCAGAGGCTGCTGGAGGTTTGGCAGAGTGTAGAAAGCACTTTGTGCTCCTGCTGGGACACCACATAATCCAGCAAAGCCCAAAAATGTGGCCTCAGTTTAAATAAATGAGGAGTTCTGTGGTTTTCAGAGACATTTTGAATACTGAGCTGTATGAGGGTCAGAGCGTTCAGTACTTTGCAAGATTGAGCAAGTAACAACATACACAAATACAAGTTTCTCTTATCAACAGAATGTGCAATTATCAACGGAATACGCAAAGCAGCTGTCAAGGATAATCTGGGATTATCACTGTTCTGGCATGACTGCTGTAGTTAATAACAGTGGGATCGTGGAGGTCTCAAGGAGAAACTGGGGGGAGGGTAGTTCTGAGAAGAACTTCTGAACCAGGCCTACAGTCCATTGTTTTCTCTTGTACCATCTTTCAACTCTTCCTGTTATATTGCTCCAGTCTTAATTAACAGCAAGTATATGCAGAGAGTTTGGCAATGAGTGACCTTTGAAGATGTAGACAGACTTCTGCTCTCTTTCTGTATGCAGATTTATTGGCAGACCTGTAGTCTGAATCAATGTGGTAGAACAGAGACAACGCCGTATATATCATGTCATTAGTACTATGCTTCTGATTGCAAAAACTGACTGGACAACTGTAGCAAGCAAGGATAACAGCTCTCATTGGTTTTATTTCCCTTTTTGCAGCTGATGAGGAGCACCAGCAAGATGTGGCTGCAGCGGTCAGACCTCGGCCCTATGTTGAAGAGCGGGGCGATGGGATGCCGAGGCGCCGGAGGAACCTGGGAAACCGGATGATGGCCCAGAGGAGAGCACAACAGGCAGAGGAATGGGTGGAAGGTAATCCTTGGTGCAGTTCAGCTTCCAGGCATTAGACTGGGCCTCAGCAGCAGAATGCTGTTGTACAATTGGCTCCTGAAGAAAAGCGTTCATTTTAATGGATTGGGAACCATATGCAGCTTGACTGTGTTCTGTTTGTCTTTGCAGCTTCTCTTTTTGCTTCGTAGAAGCTGCCTTTTGTATTTCCTCTTAGACGTGCAGGTTAAATTGAGGTAAATAGAATCGTCACCTTGCTTTACAATATCAGTGTTTATTGTAAATTGGTGGGAAGCATTAATTCCCTAATGTAACCTTTGCAAAATCTGGAGTTTAGTTTCTGAGAAACCATCTGGTTAGTGATCAGGATCAAGCCCAATTAGCTGAGATCGCTGCTGACTGCAGCATTTTTCTGCCTGCCAGCAGATTGTTGGCAACGAGTCCATTGGTCCTGTGCAGGATCTACAGTTAATAGCTGTACTTCTTTAGTGTGGTTATAGGCAAGAAAATGGTGACGAATAACACTTTTCTATACCACACGCATCCCACTCACTCTTCTGGTGAAACTTCACACATCTGTTACTCCACAAAGATGGTATCACCATGATTCTAACTGAATTCCTTTTGTGTCAGATAGCAAGTTAAATTTTTAAGGTTTCTACTCAAGTATTAATAGAAGTGGACCTTGCTTCACTTGAGTTTGGAGAGGGGATCCAGGTAATGGCTTTGGCCCAGACTGGTGAGAAGTGGTGAGCACTCATCTGAGCAATGCCATAATTGGGGGATAATTGCACTTTCTCTTGGTTTTCTTGTCATGCAGTTTATAGGAAGCATTTTCCACTTATGTTAGCAGGTAAACATGCTCTCCAAGTTAATTATGTCCAACAATTGTGCAAATGGAAAACTGACAGGCCTGAACTCTTCAACTTTGGTTCTTTCTTTCCATGTGATAACATCCTGCAAAGAAAATGAAATTGAAAAAGCTTTTTCCTTAAACTCCAGACATCAAAAGTTTTGATGCCAAAGGCTGAAAGTGAGCTGTCAAAGCAAATGACTTCTCTTACTTTTGTCACTGTGAGGTTGTCTCATTGGGCTTTATAATTGATTCTTTTGCGGCCTTCTGTATATCAGATGCAAGTGTTGCAGCCCTTGCATGAAGTTTTCTTTGAAATGACATTTCTTCTATTTTTTAATCTTTTTCATATTGAAACAACTTCTTGCTCTTCTGTTTTGTACTTCCACATATTTTTGGCTTGTTTTCCATTCATATGCTGGGATGCCTTTTCCAAGTACCTGAGCACTACTATGAAGCAGTAACACAGCCATTGGAGACTGCATAAAGGCATTAATAGTATAGCTGTGGAAAGAAGCATCTGTCCCTAGTTTCCCCCCTAGTTGCATCTTCCCTTGAAGAAGAATGAATGACATGTTTTGAAGCCCACTCTGTGGCCATGTGGCATAAGTCTGGAATATCCTCTAGGATTTGTCTCGTAGAGGCCACGTGCATTTTAGCTGTGTCACTGCTGCCTCCCTTTAACCTACTGAAATAGCAGATTGTCCCAACAACCACAGCTCAGTCTTGTGTTACAAAAATGAGTTGACTCGCATGAGAAAAGTGCCCAGAATGCATGCAGAGCTGTGCATTGCAGGACCAGTTGTGGCACTCGTGGCTGAAGAGTGAAGTTACTTGGTGGTGTAGAGAGACATACTGAGAACAAGCCAGTCTGGTTTCTTCACTCTTGACTTGTAAGTGTTCTTGTTGCTTTAGAAGTCTTCTAGACATCTACAGCTGAAGAGGTTTTTTTTCACTGCCAGTGTTACTGCCACAGACATAGAAATGGTGTCAGGTAGGAACTGCTGTTACCACTGAAGTACTTTGCCTGCCAGGAGCCAGTTCTGCTGACGTTAAGAAATGGGCTCAAAGCAAGCTTTGCAGGCTTTGGAGCTGTGGTTAGCATGAAGGTTTTCTGTTTTCCATCTAACCTGAGCTTCAAGGGTAAAATAGTAGCCCACAATTTGTGCTGCCTGTGCTGAGTTGTCATATTGTGCCAGTATCGAAATCTCTTACAGAGTAATGGGGGGAGGAAGGAGGGAAGCAAAAACTGTGGCACTAGGTTCAGAACCTTGGTAGCCTTTAATTATCCTTTCTGTAGTTGTTAGGCTTAGCTTTATTTCCTTGCATGTCCAAGTAGGGAGGAGGCATTTAATATAGACAGGGATAGTAACTGATTGAATATTCAAATCTCCACCCATTGCAAGTGGATCTAAGTCAGACTAATTTCTTCCTATAGCTTGGGTGGGGTAATGCACCTAAATTACTAAATTACTTGCAGGTTGGTACAGACAGAAAGTAAAGAGGAAAGCAATAAATGCCTTGACTTTCCTACCAGAATTGCAGCCCACGCTGTGTATGTAGGTCCTTTATTCATGGGTTCCATGTGGGCTGCACTGCACTGTGGGGACAGAGCTGCTAGCCGGCTGCCTACGCTGGCTCGGTTTGGCTGAGTAATGATTCTCAGTGGTTAGTGGAATACTCAAAGGAGGTCATCTCCTTTGAGAAAGTCAACATCTATTAATATTTTCTGATGACCAAAGATTGCTGGGGAGATAATTTTCATGGGTTACAAAGTAATTCTCCAAATGACTGAAGCCCCCGAACTGTGTTCCTTCGATGTGACTTAGAACAGAAGAGTTTGGCTTGTGATGCACAACTTCAAACTAGTCATAATGCTGCTGTCTTGCAGCCCACTGCAATGGAGGCAGCTGCCATTCAAACCTGCGTGCCTCAAAATGTATCTGTACTGCATGCTTGTAGCTCAGTGCATGTGCCTTTCCCAATGGAAAATGAGTCTGGAAGGAGAGTTCTGTATTTGTGTGATTAGCTTGCTCCTGATAGCCCAGTTTGATAGCAGATTTGACTGCCTCTGTTGCATCTTAATTTAAACTAAACCCAAACAGAGGTGGCTTTGTGGGGCTAGCTATGGCAAAGACAGCAATTTACTGCAAGAGATGAATGTGTAGATTTCCAATATTAATAATTGGAGCAGGAGAGGCCAAGCAGTGGAATGAAGGGAAGGAAAAGGGACAAATTAGAGTCAGGTTGTGGATTGTTTGTGGCATGGAATAATGAGAATAAGTAGTGTTAATTTCAGATCCCATTTGTTTGTTGTCAGAGGGCAATGATGGGGCGTCCACAGCCTCTTTGGACAGGTTATTCTTTGCCTTTCTCAGTAGTTAGTCCAATATTCTTTGCCTTTCTCTCAGTAGTTAGGCTTGTAAATCTGAGAACAGATATTGGAATGTGCAGTGAAAGCTTGGTTAAATGTAAATGACTTCTACACAATGGATACTGATAAAGCCAAGAGCTTTTAATAATCCTGTTGTAGCCTCTAGCTTATAAATTAAAATATAAGGTAAAGCTAATGGTTACAACATAAATTAAATCATAGATTCCTCTCTTCCTTTGCATGGCAAGACATTGAGGGGGTTAGGATTGCATGTTTTCCTCTACAAGTATTAATCACAACTGAGAAACAAAGCACAAAATCAAATTTATGTATGTTTATAATCTGTAGTAATTGGCCATGTTAAAATGCCCATTATTGCTTTTTAAATCCAGCATTCAAATCTTACATGAAAAAATCTTACGTAAAAAGGTCTTGCATGAGTATCTGGGGGGGAGGAATAATATCTAAAATGGATTGCAATCGTTATCTCCACTTAGTGGTGCATAAATGCTGATGTGATCCCATGGTGTTCTTGTGAAACAGTTGGAAATAGAGTAATATTAATACACGTAATTGGAATAATTTTAGAGCTTAATCAGTAGGAAAACCTTTTTAGTACAGTTAAATTTTGACTACTAATATCTTAACTAGTGAATCAGAAGTGACTTTTGACTTGCTACTCTTCATATAGAGACTCAGTGATATCAAAGTATCCACAGTGTTCTTCCTGCCCTTGAGACAAGTGCAGATGGTGTGTAGAAGAGGTAGGTGTGTGGTTTCTCAGTTATGCCATATGGCTTGGTTCAAGGAAGAGCATGAAGTTGTTTGACTTCTGCTCAAAGGGGCTCATGTCCTTTGTTTGCTGTCCTTTTTCTATCCGTAGCAGAGGCTGATCTTGTGGCTACAGATTAATAAGCATAATGTCTCATTTATTTCCTAAACTGGGTAGCTACCAGACTTCAAAAATAAAAAATAAAAAAGTCATTATTATGCCATTGCAGTGCTGTGTTGCTCATGAATGCCCACACCTTTCCATATGGTGGACTGATTCCTTTCCAGTAGCTGGTGTCATATTCAGTCTCGATAGCATGCATATGTCTGCTGTCTTCAGGATTAATTTTGTTTTGCCTGGCACCTTCCCTTCTTTTTCCTACCCTTTTTGTGAGGTGCTGTGTAAATAGTAAATCAAGCAGCAGTGTGAGTAGCCATATCTACTGCTTGCACTCTTTTTTTTGGGGGGGATGGGAATAATCGAATTATGGTATTTAATTTAATGGCATTGGAAGATATTTTTAAAATGAACTGTTTAAATTTCAAGGGGTTCAAATATCTGCATGACTACTAAATGCTGCTTTGCTTCTAAAACACTAAGGGAAAGCTGAGGTTCTCTGAAAGCCATATTTGTGTAAACCAGATTGTCACATCACATCTGAAGCACACCAGCAGTTACGGTGCGTGGTACAGTGGACTGTTGTCAGCTACATATAAGTATGTGAAAAGCACTTTCATGTGGCTGAAATTATAGCTTCCAGTAGCTTCTTTCTATTGAAGAAAACAAAACAATCTGCTTTTGTGCAACATCCTCTCTGCTTTTGGTGCAGCTATTCTTGCACTGTAATAACTGATTGATTCAGCAAACTCTCACACCAAGTGCTTATCCTCTTGTCAGCGTATTCAAGTTTATTTAGCAGATGTTAATTGCACCCAGGTTGAGTGCATTGTTGACCTTTAATGCTTTGCTGAATCACGGGTTGCATCTGCATCACTGTCTCTTGGCTTTTGTTAGATGTAACTCCATGCGCTAGAAGAAGCTTGGAAGGAAGCAGGACTTAAGGGATCGCATCAGGTGCTTTAAATTGAAGGAAAGTAGACATTACTGAACATAGACATGCTTGATGCAGGACTGGAAAAATGCTTTAAAAGCTTCTGCCTGACCTCTGGCTCAGGTATCTTCAGTGTAGATGAAATCCAGGAAGCACTCAGAGCTTCCAGTTGAATCCTCTTAGAGGTGGTGTTTCATGTTTGTGGTTTTTTCCAGAAATAACCTTCTAGGGGATAATGCCAACATTAGAATCATAGAATGGCCTGGGTTGTGAAAAGGACCACAATGATCATCTAGTTTCAACCCCCTGCTATGTGCAGGGTCACCAACCAGCAGACCAGGCTGCCCAGAGCCACATCCAGCCTGGCCTTGAATGCCTGCAGGGATGGGGCATCCACAGCCTCCTTGGTTAAACTGTGAATTGGGAGTAGTCACTGCTAATGCTGTGCTGCTCACCTATTGCATTTGGACCTCCTCTTGGCATAGGGTTAAAAATTAATATTTTTTTTAAGGTTCAGTAAAATTATAGAAGCAACTGTGTGTTGGGGACACTCAGATTAGGCGATGTTTCTTTGAGATGGAGGAAAGGCATCAGTGATCACATGCCAGAGTTTCTGAAGCCCAAACTAGCAAGCCTGTCTCATCTTTACTTCCATATCCTGAAAACAGCTAAATTACTTGAGAGCCACCTACACAGATCTCAATTACATTTGGTTCTGTTGATGTGTCTCAGTGGCTTAACCATAGTACCATACTGTGTATTGAAATTAGTAAAACAAGTGTTTCAGAGGTAGGTCTGTATATAAAAGAAGGGTGAGCGCTTTTCATCCACGTGCTTCTTAAACAGCCATTTCCTTGGGTTCCTTCAAAGCAATAGAAAGGAATCACTTTCTCTGGAGAGAGTTCTCTATGGGGGAATATCCTGCTGCCACGCTGCCAAACTCACTTTGGCAATTGCCACACTACAGTCATCTCCAGGTGAGGTTTGATGGAGTGAGCTGATGACCTCTCTTTTAAGGCCATAGTCAGTCTGTGTTAAGATGGAGGGCTAACTTTGTTTAGGAAATAAAGTGGCCAAATACTTGTGAAATACGTGAAGGAGGAGGGAAAGGAAATGTCCATCTTTAAAAGCTCTTCTTTCATATTCCACCTTTACAGAGATCATCTTTATAAACAACCATTTGTCATACAACAGTGTACTACTTACGTGTGGTTTTGTTGCAATTAAACCCAGGATTTAAATATCAACTACATTTTCACCTCTGAGTTGAGTTTGTGTTGCCTTGTTACTCCTGCTTTGTGGAGGTTTTTTGCTTTTTTCCATCCATCTTGTCTGAAATACACGTCTGTATCCTTTCCATGTGCTGCTGCTTTCCTAGGAAGCAGTCATGTTTCCTGAATGGACTTTTTACATACGATTTACAACTTGTTGTTTGCCCTTTAATACAATCTTACAGAGGAAGATGATGCTGAGGAGGTGCCAGAACTTCAGGTGACAGGGAAAATCGGAGCAAAAAAGCAGAGGAAATTAGAAGAGAAACAAGCCAGAAAAGCTCAGAGAGAGGTAAGCATTCCTGCCTCGTACAAAGCTCAGAGCAAAACCTAAACAGTCATACTCAGCAAAAACTGATGGTGACAGATACCCAGGAGAATTTTGAGGTACCTGAGGTGTGCATGCATGCAGTTCCTGCTTTACACCATCCTATAGAAAGGATGGCTGGTTAGCAACAAATCTGATTAGTGTTGTATACATTTACCATCCTTTTCTCACTTGCTCCCTTTGAAGCATTTTATCGTTGCTTTCCATAGTCATTCTGTTTAATTAGCTTTTTTTTTTTGGTGGAAAATGTGAGCAAAGTTGAATGATAAGCATCACTTGGTTGAGCGAGGAATCTTTTTGTTTCATTTTAAAACATGCTGATTTTTATTTTCCCGTGTAGACAAATAAATTTTTCGGTTAAGTCATCTTTGCTGAAACATTCAAAACCACAAATCCACTAAAGCACAACTTAAGAAACAAAAGAATTCTAAACAATACACAAAATATCTTTATTTTTACTGTTCTGGGAAACTTCCCTTTGCTGAGTTTGGTTAGATACAATAGGAATTTGTAGATTTGAAGAGACAAGTACAACATTCTCTTAAAGAGATTCTCCCCACGTTAATATTCATCTATTTGCTTTTAGAGATTTTTTCTCCTTTTTTTTTTCCTTTTCTCCCTTTATCTTAGAGTAATTATGATATTCCATAATATCACTCTAATTATAAGGTATGTGCACATACAAAGCTTGCTTTGTCTGCTTCTCAATAAGCATTTTCAAGTCAGAAGAGTAATTTTTAAACTTACCACGATGTTAAGTATTCTGAAGGTTTTGGGGGATGAAAAAGTTGAATCATAATGACTTGTTGTATTAGGTTATTATTTCTGAACATGCATACAGGAAGGTAGTAAGGGACGTCCCCCTTAGTCTTTACAATATAAAGGTAAAAGATGCATATTGAGGGAGATTAAAGCCTGTCTTGCATTTCTTTTGTTGGTTGTTGAAGGGTTTCTTTGTTTGTGTTTAAGGCTGAGGAAGCAGAGCGAGAAGAACGGAGAAAACTTGAGTCAAAGAGAGAGGAGGAGAGGAGGAAAGAAGAGGAGAGAATCCGCCTTGAAGAAGAACGACAGGTTTGGTTGCATTTATAGGTGGAAATTTTGAACCAAGTTTATCTTGGAGATTGCTTCTCTGTAAGTTCTGTGATAGCAAAACTCTTTGGTATTCAATGCTATTACATCTTTTGTTTGTTTTGTTGCTCCATTTCTATATGAATTACAGCAATACTCAGTGCAGGACCCAGTTTTGTTTCCCCAGGTGCTTGGCAGAAGTGAAAGCTCTTGCTCCAAACATCAGCACACATCTTAGCAGCAAGCACCAACCCACAGTTGAGGCCAGGGCTAAATGAAAGCTTTCCTGCAGTGGATTCAGTAGTCTGTCTGTGAGCCTTCTATTCAATAGTGACAGATTGTTTGGTCAGTTTATGTTAATAAACATAGCTTTTAAATTTGGCCCTTAGTCTGATGGAGTCTATTTCAGTGCAAGTTTATGAAGGAGTTGTACTCAACTGCAGGAGAAGTTGGCTTGATGTCTGATAGAAGTTTAGTTCTCAGAACCATAGAATGGCATAGGTTAGAAGGGATCTCTGGAGGTTGCTCAAAACCTTGTCCAGATAAGCTTTCAGTGTCTCCAGGGGTAGCAAATGTTTCAATTGTGCTGAGATCCAGTTCCAATAGTTGATCATTTTTCATGTTGCAACTTGTGTCTCTTGCTGATGCTCATTAGGTCTGCCTGCCTGACAGCTGTAACCAGCAGGGCAGAAAGCGAAAGACATTATCAACCACTTCTGCAACTGTCATGTAAATTTGTGTAATTAGAACAAAATAGCATAATTTTACATGTGCTTTATAATTAAAGATTTTCAACCTGTATATAGGAAGGTGCACGTTAGGAGTGACCCAGAAAAACAGATCCTGTGCAACTGAAGTGTCTTTGTGAAAAACCTTTCGTCAGTGGAGGTGGCAAACTGATTTCAAAGCTGCTTTGTGTGTTCCAGGAGTCGGTGCTACTAGCTAAGAACTGGAGCTTCGTGCTCTTTGGTGCTTGAGGAATTTGTGTAGTAGCCTTGCAGTGCTTTGAGAGGCAAGGAGCAAGGTGTTCTGTGCAATCCTGTGTTGAGTAATTGCAGTCCCAGGGGAGTGTAGCCCCCAGCGTTCAGCATGAATTTTCCATTATGCTTAAATGTGCAAATCTGTGCATTGTGGTGAGCAAATTTATTTTAATTCGTTGTAAGCACAGATTGTGCAAGTGAGGTGTTCTGGTGATAACGTCTTGAAAGAAGAAAAGACATTTCTCCCTTCTGTTGAGAGTATGAAGTCTAATTTTGGCTAGTCAGAGCTGTTTCACAGCAGCAAAACTATCAGACCTGGCTTCCTATGGATCTCTGACTAAAGCTTTCCCCCTGCCCATGCACTTTAATAGCACCAGCTTCTGCCTTGCAGTTCGCTCCCCTTCTAAACATTTCTCATTTCTCTTCCTATACTTCCAGCTCAGAAAGAAGCCAGATGAACTGTGGCTGCCTTTAAAGCACACATCTGTTGTCCGTCCTGCTTACTGGGGGACTTCTCCACCCTTCAGGTCAAAGCATAAGAGAGAACACAGATGGCATGTTTTCTTCTAGTTGTGTATTCTTTTAATAAGCGTATTGTCTGCACCCAGTTCCTTGACTTTTCAAATACTTCTTTCTTAAGATTTTAGAAATGTAATATCCTTGAAACCCTGAGGAGTTGGTTGAAATGTACTAGAACAGTTTGTTACTCTAAGGGAGATAAGGAGGGCACCCTGGCTGGATGATAGCATTGCTTTGGTGTCAGTTCCTTTAGACAAGGCTAAGAGCAGTTCAGTTCTGGAGTGGCAGTCCGTAAGACATGTGGATTGCTAATCAGCAGCTGAGCTGGGCCAACTTGCTCAAAGTGAGCTATAACCCAGGACAAAGTTGTTGTCCTATTGGTTACCTCCAACTTTGTCCTGGGGCTTAGCAGTACAGCTGGCTAATAAGGATCACCAGCACACAGTTGAAGACCTGGGTAGCAAATAAGGGTATAATTCCACCCAGAGATCTCTTTCACGAAGAAAGTGCTTATTAACATGTTTAACTTTTTTTTAATCATCACCTTCTTTTCAATTTAGAGCTGAATAATTTATTTTGGTTGAATGAGGGAAATCTCATTTGGTTTCATTTTGATCTTCGGTATACCTAATGAAGACTGTACTACAATGCTTTCACCTTCATTTTGCAAGGCCAAATGAAAATGAGGAATGTGAATTAAGGCTTTGATTTACCTCAATTTTGTGCCTGGCAATCCAAAGGACAGCTAGAAGCTCGAGTATTACTCAGATGCATAAATCTATCTTGCTATTCATATTTGCTTTAGTCATGCCTGAGCAATAGTAGGGGAGACTTCAGTTGCATGTTTTTTCTTTTTTTTTCCCCTGCTCCCTTTTCCAAGAAGTGCTCCCAGAATTGTGCTGACTTCCATGAATGCTGAGACTGGCTCTGTGTCAAGGAGAGCTGCTTTGCAGCCTTTCAACAGCTGAGTCGTATTCAACAGCTCTGGATGATTCCTGCTCTATTAAATGCTCTCTGAAAGTCCCTCAAATAATGGGGGAAGCCAAACAGAAGAAGATACAAAATTGTGTTGTGGATCCTGTAGAAATCATAGAATCATAGAATGGGCTGGGTTGAAAAGGACCACAATGATCATTTAGTTTCAACTTCCCTGCTGTGTGCAGGGTCACCAACCAGCAGACCAGGCTGCCCAGAGCCACATCCAGCCTGGCCTTGAATGCCTGCAGGGATGGGGCATCCACAACCTCCTTGGGCAACCTGTTCCAGTGCTTCACCACCTGTTCCTGATCTTTACTAAAGTCACTGGGGCTGCTAAGCCTTTCACACGCATCCCTGCAAGTAGTTTGAGACAGGGAGACTAGTGGAAACGATGAATTTTGAGTCACATGAAAACCCTCTTTCTTCTATAGGCAAAGATAGCTCTCTGCAGTTATTTTTGGGCAGCTCTGTACTGTGATTCAGTATAAGTGGGAACTCTCCCTTCCAGGGGGACTGCAAGGGCTAAAATCTTTTATATTCTTGAGAAAAACACCCCCCTGGTTCTGTCTAAACATATTTGTATGCACGTATAAATAAAATGTGGTTGCCCCTTGGCTCCTGTGTTGCAAACCAAATAATATATATTTTTAAATTCAAGTTTCCTTTCCAGTGTTCAGATGACCTGATTGGCTACGCATGTGAGGAAGCTCCTTTATAACTGGCATTTGCTTCGGCTCTGCTTTACCCTGGGGATTTCCCTTTCACTCTTGGAGTTTTTTAGTGGTGAGATGGTTTACCAACCGACACCTTATCAATGAGAGCGAACTTCCTCTGATGTTGCAAAACAGTGTCTTCATCAAAAAAGTCTTGCAGGTTGCTAGCCAGAAAGTTTTTTTTCACCCTGCACAGGGATTTTTGTAGATTTTAGTTCCTTAGCCTACCTCTGCTGTGCTAAGGAAACTGCGTATGGTTTTTCTTTTTGCAGATGCAGAGCTCACAGTGATTCTCTCTCTCTTCTATACTAAAATGCAGGGTTGAACAGCGTGTGTTGCTTGCAAATCCACTGCAGTGTGAGCTGCTCTTAAAACATAGTTTGATGTAGTAGAGAAACTACTGATCTTCAACTGAGCGAGCTTTCAGTGGTTGTGAAATAAAAAGCCACAGTGGGAGTGGGGGCTGGCATTTGTTCACTGCTATATTAGAACAAGGTTTGTATTGCTCAAGGACAGCTGTGTCCAACGTTTCCAAAGTCAGGAAATGTCACTTAGGCTTTTGGCTTTGCATTTCAGTACCTGAGTTTGATGGTCTGGATCTTTAAAACTTCAGGAGTGGAGGAGTGGCTCATGGTCCTCAGGGTGTTATTGAACTTGTTGTAAACTGAGACCCTAAAGTTTTGGTTATTTGATATTTAACTGTGCAATACATGCTTTCCCAAAAGTTAACTTTAAGGAAGTACAGTTGAAAAGGTTGCAGAAGGCTCATCCTACTCAGATCTTGGTGAGATGAGAACTGGTAGGAAATACTACATTTTGCTAAAGGTTTTATTTCTATCTGAACAGTGATGGGGAAGGAACGTCTACTCTAATTCATAATAGAATCATACAAAGGCTTGGCTTGAAAAGGACCACAATGATCATCTAGTTTGAACCCCCCTGCTATGTGCAGGGTCACCAGAAACCAGACCAGGCTGCCCAGAGCCACATCCAGCCTAGATTCAGTCTACTCTGTGTCATATTAGTTATTTGAGAAGTCCCTGTTTGGTTCCTGCAGATGCTGTACTAACAGCACAAAAGCTGGGTGTGGTATCATAGGATGGTTATGAGGAGGATTTCTTTGGTCTGTGAACCTCAAAGTGTTTGGCATAGGAACTGCCATACTTTTCCTGCAAGCTACAGGCAAGGAATGACTGCAAGCAGGTTGGTGGTTGTAGAGAGCCTGGTCTTTGCTCTCCTTTCCTCTTGCAGTGAGATCTCTTCCACTGCACAGTGCAATAAGCTGCCTATAAATGATTTGTTTGTCAGCAAGTTGGTCCTTTATCTGATTTGGAGGAGAGATGGCAGAGCACACAACTAGCAGTTTGCTCTCTGGGAAAGCTGCTTAGGCAAAGCTCCCACAAGAGCTGCTTAGTGTATAGGCCAATACTACCCTGTGTCAGTGTCACCTTAAATGGGTTACTGCATGGAAAGCTAGGAACAGTAGCTTGCTGTCTTCTGGCTAAATGGTGCTGTAAGTGTCCTCACCCTTTGTTAAAAGTAGTGATGCATGATAAGCCTTCAAAGACTGTAATCTCTCAGTTACTCAGCAGCATCTCAGGGCTCCAGAAGGCTCTGTAGTTCCAAGAGTCAAGGTCTGCTTCCAGCTATAAATCTGAGAGAGTTCTCAGGTCCCTCTGGGTTTGAGCTGATGAAAGATTGGGATTTTGTGCTGTTGACACAATTAATGTTTTTGATGGCATGGAAATAATCATTGCATTCAAGGTAAGCAATGAGCAGTGGAAAGGTACATTCATAGGTACGGCCTGGGTTGAAAAGGACCATAATGATCATCTAGTTTCAACCCCCCTGCCATGGGCAGGGTTGCCAACCACCAGACCAGGCTGTCCAGATCCACATTCCTCAAGTGTGGTGTGGAAAGCTGTTAGAAAACAAATGTATGCTGTATCAAGCCCCTGGTTTTGGTAAGGTTGAAGTGGGTGAGGAGAGCAGGGGACCCATTACAAAGTTTAGGGAAAAAAAAAAGCAGTTGAAGGTGAACATCAGCACTTAGCAAATTTCCATAGAGCTGGGATTTCCCCACCACCACACCCATTGCTGAAGGGAGGTGGCCCAACTATTCTCTCTCCTCTAAGCAGACATGCATTACCACTTAACTCCACAGCAGTTAATGTGAAATTAGAATGGGGATAGGCAAAAAAAAACATAAATCCTGACTGATAAAAAATACAGGCTTCATAAAAATCATGTTTGAGCTATGTGCCCTCTGTGTGACTCGTAGGCAGTGAGTATTGGGCTTTGTTTAATTAGTAGTCCCTGGGGTGCTGAGAGTGTTTCCATGTGTGGGTTATGCATAACTCACAGGGTGTTTTTCATGGGAACCTGACTACGTCTGACTCTGCACCTTCCATGCAGCTGCTGCATGACTTGGGCATGTGAAAGAGTGTTGGTGTGGTGGTGGAACACCAGCTGAAAATGAGTGTTAACAAACAAGGTGACTTCAGCAGGGCTCCCCCCTGCCCAGCTTCTCCTGCTGTTGCTGGTTCTTTTTACTCTGAATCACTTTGCAGCTTCCCTAAATCCTTTTTCTGTAGCTTAAATTGTGGTTGAATTTAGGTGGGTGAAGCATGTGCAACAAGTGGCTACGTTGTTTTTTTTTCTTCTAGGTGGTTGATGAAAAAGCTTCTGGAAATGCTTAGCTAAGTGCCTTACTCTTGTATTTCCAGGATCAAGATTAAATTTGATGTACTTTCATGCAAAGACCAGTTGAACACTTCTGAATGATCTATGGCTGTGTTGTTCTTGGCACCTGTAACGCAAGGACAGAAATTACTGCTGAGCTTTTGTTAATAATCGTTATGGTGATGAATGACCTGGAAAATGGTCTCATTTTGTCTCAAGTGCTTCCTCAGATCTGCAGGATTTCTTCATGAGATAATGGTTAAAAATGGCTTTGACTCTTCACATGCAGTAAGATCCTTTCAGCTCTGGTTTTCTGATGTTTGAATGTCACTATGGAAAATGCTTCCTCCTTGGGACTTGCTCAGAGTTTGGCTGAATGCAATTAAGGCTGAATAGACTTTTTCTGTGATTTTAATTAAGAGCAATACTGCTGCACCTGTTTCTGGCAGCTCAGTACCTTACATGATGTCTTTACTGAAAACCATTCATATTATACTTAATGACTTGTTCCTGTCTCCCCCTGTTTTAATAGAACAAGTGTTTGCTTTCGAGCCATTTAAGGAAGCAATTACCATATTAATGCTGAAGATGTAGCATGGCAAGCATGTAAGAATCAATAGAGTTGTTCTTTAGGAGATCGATTCCTGTGCTAATAGTAAAGGAAAAGGACAGAGGCTGACAATAAAATCCGAAGAACTCATGTTTCTAAGTACTAATCAATCCTTTGTGTTGTAATAGCAAGCAGAGGTTTGTGAAGTTGGAATCTCATTGTATCAGGTGCTATACAAGCATCAGTTTCTCTGCCCCACTGATGCTGGGCTCAGGGTTTTCTGCGTCAGCAATTTTTCATTGCTTTTTGGCACGTGGTTTTGAAAACCATTTCTTTCAGCATAGGTAACTGATGCTATTCTTGTTGTGCTTAACTAAGAGTGGAACTTTCGTTTGACCATTCATCAAAACCTACAAAATAAACTCCTTTTAATGTAATAATACATTTTCCCTAAGCATAAAGCAGTTTGCACAGTTCTTTACATTCAGCGTGGATGTATTTTGCTGTATGACAAAAGTGATTTACTTGAGGCTCTTGCAGTCCAGCTTACTCACATACGCAGATGGAGACCAGTGTAATTCCAGTTCTCTTTGTCTTCATTCCCATTGGACACAAGTGCATGTCAGAGCAGAATTGGGGCTGGATACAGAAATGTGGGTGTTGCATCTAAGTGCAGTTAGGGGCAGGAACTTCCTGTCGCTTGGTCTTCAGAAGAAGCACATTCATGCAAATTACAAAAGCAGCTTGCTATATAAGAGTGGTTTTCTCCCCTGTGTCAGACCTGTTAAGAACCAGCCTAGGTGTCTTGTGCAGGCTTAGAACACCATGTTAGGATGACTGCGATCTTAAGAGCATCAGAGCAGCTTCTGAAATGAATGATACCATCAAGGGAGAACTCAGACATGTTTTAGAAGCTTTTTATCTGCAGTCTGCCACAGTAGGATCAGACTGCAGATAGAGAAAATGCAACTGTACTTAAAACTAAACCCCCTTTGGGGAGGAGCATACTGACCACATGTCATCTTTTCTCTCTAGGAAGAGGAGAAAAGGAAGGCAAAGGAAGAAGAGGAGAAGAGAGAGTATGAAGAGTACCTGAAGCTGAAGGAGAGTTTTGTAGTTGAAGAGGAAGGGGTTGAAGAATCAATGACAGAGGAAGAGGTATGTACACTAGTCTGTTATTGTAGCTTCCTTGATCACTGTTAAATTCAGATTGTCCTTACTGCATTCTGTCTCTTGTAAAATGGACTTCAAAATGGGATCCAGACAAATGGTTTTGCTTTGAAGAGATGTGTATGTAGTGTGTATTAACTTGAGTAATTTCTTGGGGAATGCTACAGTTCCTCATTCCAGACTCTCTCACTTAGTTCAGAGTGCTCAGGCAAGTGCACGTCTCTGAGAACGAGTTCTGTATTCCCTATGTTAAGGACTGAAATAAAACTAATTTGAGGAGGCAGATTCTCTTCTACTGTCCCCAACTCTACCCTGCTCTGGTCCCGTGTGGTTGCAAAACAGATGAAAGCAAGTCTAGATTTGGAGTTATGTGGTGTGAAATCAAATGAAAAATCGAGCTGAGAGAAAGCTTGAGAAATCACAGGACACAATCAAGGTGCTTGTGGACTTTCCACTGGAAAACTGTTCAGTGTTGTAAATGACTACAAGTCACTGATAGGGTTTCAAACTCTGTAATATTCTAGTGTGCTCCTCCTGTGGCTGCCTCCAGGCGAGCTGCTGGGGATGGTGGTTGAAATGTGATGCTGACATAATAGCACAGCAAACTTGAAAAGGTTCTTTTGTGGGAGGTAGAACCCTTAATTTGCTGAGGAGAAAGCATGTTAAATTAATTTTAATTGCTGTCAAATGTTGAAATGGCTCTGGAGTTTCGGCTGCCAAATTTGGGCTGTCCAGTAGATTACATGATGGGTACTTTTTTGGGGAGGGCCATGTAGATTTGTTCCACCTCTGCTTAAGTGACCCTCTTGAAATAAATTTGCACTCAGCATCACTGAGCGTGGGCTTAGGGGCTTGCAATTAGTCAGTATACACTGACCTTGGGTACAGATTCTCACCATGGAACCCTTTCTATTAACAGAAATACCTCTACTGTGCCAGGGTTAGCACCAAGAGAAGTTGTATGTGATGATGAGAAACTTCTTAAGATGCAGAGAAGAATGAAACAAGTACTTGCTTTTGAAAACCCATTTTATATTGTCTGTTCTGTTAGAAGATCATATAGCTAAAACATTATATTCTCCACTTCAGACTCCCTTGAAAGGTAGAGAGTATTTATTGACAGACAGCAGTGGAAACACAGATGAAGAGAAATTAATTTTTCTGTATGTGGGAAGAGGGAAGGGTGTTCCTCACTCAAAAAGAGCCTGGGAGGCAATGGATGGTGCATGGATCTCAACACAGATATCTTTGGTAGGGGTGGGGAAGTAAAACTTTAATTGCAGGCAATTTGAAAGTCATGTTCAGAAATGATCACAGGTATGTAGTTATTTGGAGGCATCAGCCTTGCAAAAATGCCAAGCCATCCTTCTGTCTCGGGGTGGGTAATGCACTTGAAGCATTTTGGTATCCTGGTACAATGGTATCCTGCCATGTGGTGTTGAGAGCAGCGTGCTGAAACTCCTGCTTGAAGTTAAGGGTGCAGAGTTAAGCAGTTAATTAAGGCTGATTGATTTTCAGGGTTGCAGAGTAACTCGACCTCCTGTTCACTTCAATGCATGTTTTTTGCATGGCCTTTGAAAACTGAGCTGCTTACATTAAAATGCAGGATTTCAGGTGCATAGCTTTGAGAAGGGCTTGAGCTGCCACATGTGTTGTGCAGCTGTGTGCTGCACTTCACCATCTGCACGAGCTGCCTCCTGAATCACTCTGTACTTTCCCTCCATACAAAATGTCCTCAGTGAACATACTTAATACACAGACTCACCCAGATGTGATTGTTTCAGGGTACGTATGATTTGAAGAAAAAGAAAAGATTCAACCATCTCCTTTCAGAAAACAAATTGTGCTTGAGCCATATTCTGACTTAGAAAATACCTATTGGAAATTCCTAGTTAAGATTAAATCTAGATGCTTATTTTCCCCACTTCAAAGTCTTCTCTATGCGTGTATATAAATTTCAGGGGTGGACAGGCTAAATGCTTATATTGTGCAAGTTTGTGATGCATTTAATATTTATAAATTTAAAATAACATTTGTTTTCCTTTCCAGACTCGCAGCTTTCTGAAGGAATTTATCGAATACATTCAGGTAAGTTATCATTTTATTCTCCACTTTCCATGTTGTTAGAGTAAATAACTTTGAGTGATAGAAAGAAGGGAAATCTTTTCTACTTCAATTTACTTAAATACTCAGCAAGTAAAAAAAAAGGAATACCTGAGATGAAGTCCGCATTATTTACTTGATTGTGCATGAATATGTTAATCATTGCTGAAGTTATTTGTAGTTACAGCTTTATCTTAGCTACTGGGGGGTGAAATTGTAGCCCATAGCCTAATTCATAAGGATAGACGTGTGAAACTCATCGTCAGGGCTTCTGATCAGAAATGTTGGCTGCAGTGTGGGATTTGGGACATTTGAGCTTTTTGTTTGTTGCCTAAATCGTAGCTGATATTCACAGTCTCTGCATCTGAGCTCAGCACGAATGAGAAATGCTGTACCAGCATGTGGCCTGCCATGCAGGGTGTGTGTGTTTGAAACATGGGCGTTGTAAAGATCATTCAGACTTCGTGTGATTTCTTTCATTTGTGCCATTTACAGCACTGATGTTTTATAGGGATATTTAAAGAAAAAATCACATTTTTAACAGGGGATATTTACCTTTCATGATGTGCTTGGCTACCTAAATCCTGTGGCGTGTTCATGAAGATTTCTACTTGTGATCTGGAACAACAAATGCTTCTTTAACCACTGTTGTTATATCAAAGTTGAAATGTAATTTCTTACCCTTAGCCTAAAACATACCTATGTGGTGATTTTTTTTGTCCTAATTTAATCCCTTTTGGCCTTTATTGGAAATTGGACTCTGTGAACATACTGTATGTGTGTGAAAGGCTTCATTAGTAAGCACATCTTCCACACATTTAGTGACTTTCTAATCATTTTCTTAGTTCAGAATGTCAAATTCTGGACTCATTTTGCATCTCCACTACCCCACCAAGAGCTTAGAGATGCACACACTTCTGGCTCTTTGGTAGCTCTCCGTAAGGAATCAAGTTGCTAATTGCTGTCTAGTTCTGGAAAACAGGAACAGCATTCCAGGGTTACTGCAAAGCTGCACTGCAAGCATCTTTTGCTGTGCTCTTCTCTGTCTCGTGTGCCACTGGGACTTGATGCATCCAGTTGCCATTGGGCTGCAGTGAGGCTACGTTCACTTTTGTCAAGTGCTTTCAGATCATATGGGCTCTCTGGAGGTAATTTGGAAATGTTTGAGCTGGTAGTGGGCTGTATATTCTTTGTTGCAGCCCAAGCAAAAATATTTCTTGATCACTGAGTCGTCAGCTTAAGGCAATCAATTTGGATCAGAAACACCACCCAAGGCAGATGAAACAGCTGAGACTAGATTGGAAGAGCAATAGGTAACATGTTTGAAGAGCTTAAGAAAAGCCATAGAGTGAAGACAAACCATCAGGTGGCACATCTTATTTTGGAGTCATGCAGAGATTTCAATATTCTGCTTTCCATAGAACCAGAGAGGTTTTCTTGGAAAAAGGGAGGACTTTACTGTCACTGTGTCTGTTAAGACCATCCTCTGTTTTGATTGCTTACTGCACATTCCTATCTATAGCACTGTCTTGAAAGCCAAGCTCTGAACTCAGGAAAATATGCTGCTCTTTATTAATAAACATGACTTATATCAGTGTCCCTTGAGATCTTCCACTAAAACTGGAAGGGTTTCCAAGGGCTGATACAATAGGCTCTGGTTCTGCACGTTGCCCTGGTGGTTGTGGTGGACGGAACAGATTAGTCACACAATCTCAGTTCAGTGTTTAAGCACATATATAGTTGTATATTAGTCACTTTGACTTGACGTCAGAGAAATTAAGCACAGGCTGAAGAACCAAATTCAGAAGTGCTTTGACACCTGGCTTCCTATGTAGAAATAAGAGAAAAGGTTCTGTTTGTCTTAATTCTGGGAGCTCTTGCTCTGTTTAAAGCCTTGTTGGAGACAGCTGCAGAAAAAAAATATGTGAAGTGAAATGAATTTGGTAAAGTGTGAATGTATGTATATTGCTCTGTGAGAGTTAAGCCTGTCTTTAAAACATGAAATCTGTGGTGTTTCGCTGAGCTGGGACCTCACAGTGTTGCTGTATTTCAGAGTGGGTGGAGACTGGATCCCCATTCCATCCCATTCTCTGGTCTGCTATCCACAGCAGGAGCTGTATTAGAAAGCTTCCAGTGAGCTCTGTCACTAAGGGCAAACATCTTGAAGCAAAGGTGTAAAGCCTGGTTTTCTCATGTAATGACTTTGCATCCCCTCTCCTTTTAAAAGAAGATGTGACGAATCTTGGCAGTTCCCAGCTCTGAGAACTGAATTCCATGGACTGGTTTCAATTCCATGCGTTCAGTCCATGGTATTCAGTTCTCTAGCTTGGCTGCATCAAACTTCACAACTGCTAAGTCTGTGTGGCTTTTGATTTTGCTGATGAAAAAGATTCTTCTGTTGCAGCCTCTGTTAATTCTTCAGTGTACTCTCAAGATCAGAAACAAATGCGTTTATCACTTGTAGTATGACATCCAATAATGTAAATATGGCCATACATGTAAGGCTTTTGGGGATGTACTCAAGGATGTTAGCTCATGTTATTTGAGCCTTCACTTAAATGGGTCAGAGCATCTGGTCTTTCCACTGAGCAGATTGGTTTAAGTAATGTAAATTAAAGGGTGTTTTTTTTTTTTAACACAGAAAAGTGCCTATCAGGATAAGTTGGAAGGGCAGGTTCTATTTTGTATGTTTTGCTAACCCTCTAATTCATCAGCTGCACGTAACTGTTGTTTGTTTCCATAGAAAACAAAGGTAATTCAGCTGGAGGACTTAGCTTCACATATGGGCTTAAGAACTCAGGTAAGTGCTACCTTTTGGGGTACAGTACAAACAATGACTTTAAAAGGGTAAGAGAGAGAAAGTAGTTAGTTAAGGGTACTTTTGTGTTACTATTCTGGCATTACTTTGGTGGAGTTCAGTGGATTCAGCCCTAGAAAGTGGATATTCATCAGAGAGCCATAGAAGATTGCTGGCTCACAGGGATGTTAGTGAAAAGGGCACAGTCTGGCTCTTGAGTGGCTGCTTGTTGGCTAATGGATTGTACAGATTTTTGCAAATCTTTTAATAGAACAATTCATGATAATTGGGAATCAAGAGCTGTACATCCAGGCTGTGCTGCCCCCTGCCTCTCTGCTTTGCTAGAACTTAATTTGCATGCAGTGAGCCCAGTTAAAGTTGAAATCCAAGCCCTAGCTTGTTTCTGCAGTCCTGTAAATGCTGGTGGGAGAGAGAGGCAGAACTGCAGAAACCAAAGTTATTGGCACACAGATACCAGTTGTAGGTGCAGCAGAACAACGTGCTTGGAGTAACCATAGAGTTAACTCAGCAATAAATTCAACAAGCTGCTCTTTGGCTCGGTAAGAAGCTCTTTGCTCAGAAATGGAGCAGGAAAAACTAAAAAGCTCTGCAATGTGTTGAGTGTAGCCAGATTCTTGGAGAAGTGCATCACAGTATTTCATGGAACTGGTGTGTTGCATTGGCACAGTACAGCCTTTTCTTGGGAAAATGTGTTTAGCTCCCCCTCCATGATTCAGTCAGATAATTTAATAATGAAAACTCCTCGCTGGCAAGGAAGTTATTTGAACACCCCAAGCTGCAGAAGCTCACTTTGACTTTCTAAGACCAAACCATTTCTAAAAAGGGCTTACTACATCCATCTGTGTGGAACCACCAATGTATATCCTTCACTGAAGTGTTTAACACTGATTTAAATGTAAGCATCATCCTGTTGTTTGTCTGAGCATGCAGAATGTTCTGTACCTTCCTCTTGATGGGTTTGTTATTCTTTTTTCCTTTTTGAACAGGATGCAATTAACAGAATCCAGGACCTGATGGCAGATGGCACTTTAACAGGTGACAGCCATAACACCTATTCTTCAGCTGGTGCAGAAAATGTCTCTCTCCTCTGTGGTAGAGAGACATCCAGTCTAATTTTCATTTTAAACTGGAGAGGACCCTTGTAGGATTTGAATAAAAGCTGTATTATTTCTGTTTTGGCAGATGTGAAACTGCTGTTGAAAGCAATATAATTGTTTCAGTGATATATTTTACAGAAGTTGGGGGGTAAATGCTCCCAATGGTTCAGTGGCCAGCACGAGGCTTCAGCATGTTGTTAACCCTGCTGGAGGCCTTTGGGTTGACTAGCAAGTTACATCCTCTGAAATCTGAATTTGAAGGAGTTGTTTGGAAATCTTGGGGCTTGTTTGCACACCTGTTTTAAAATTGCAGTGGCTAAAGCTAATATGGGGTGTCATAGAGTCATAGAATATCCTGAGATAAAAGGGACCCAGAAGGATTGAGGTATGGCACACTCTGGGAGGAGCAAACATCCCAGAGCACTCCAAAACTAGGAGCTGGAGTAAGTGAAGTGCTTGTTTCTAGCTATGTACCCATGCACTCGAGGTTGGAATGTAAGCAGAGACTGAGCAATTAGGTAGCTCCCTGTCTGAACAAGGCTGTTTTATTGCTGGTCAGTCTTTTTCTTTCCAAGGATGAAGCAGGGGAAGGTGCCAGTGCAAACATTTGCTGACCTGATAGTTGTTTGCCAACCGTGACAGCTGTGTCTGAATGGGTACATGTGGATACCCACTTGAATGACCTAAAAGTGATCTGAATCAAAAATGTGTACTGTCCTAGCTAAAAGATGTGCTAGTAAGGCTCCCTGCTTTACATTTGATCCTATAAGACACTGAGAACAAAGAGGTCAGTTCTCACTCCTGTTGGAGCTACTAAAATGTGCAAGTTGAGCTTCATTATCTGCCAGAGGGGCTCCAGATTTCATTGCCTGGGTCCTTCTGCTCTTCCTTTCTCAGCTGGCTGTCTGACCCTGGAATATCAACACTAATGCAACGTACCTGAATGCACTGCTGTGATACTCCCAACTAGCTACACACAGTGGGGGGGAAAAATTGCATTACTTGTTGAACAAAATTAGTCTTACCCAGGCACTCAGGTATTGTCAAAACCTTATTCAGAAGCTCAACAGTAGAGATGTTACCTGACTGCTAGCACATTATTCTGCCTGCCCTAGATACGAGATGCAGCCTCAGCAGTTCAAACGTCCCTTCCAAAAAGAAGTAACTAATGTCTGTTGGGAAGTGAGAGGAGCCAAAGTGCTGACTTGAAGGTCCTTTCTTTTTCCCCTGTAGGTGTAATTGATGACAGAGGAAAGTTCATCTATATCACACCAGAGGAGATGGCTGCCGTGGCTCAGTTTATCAAACAGAGAGGACGAGTATCCATTACAGAGCTGGTCCAAGCAAGCAATTCCCTGATCAACCTCCAGCCTGACAGCCAAGCTGTTGCTCCATCTGTGGCATGAAATTGTGGCGTGAGAAAATGCAGGAGTTTAACTTCTTAATGAATAAACCACATAACGAAAAGCAAACAAGAACCCTTCCTGTCTCTGTGCAGTGTTTGGAGATAGGACGCTTTGTTTAAGCATTAACTGCAAGAATTGATCAGAAGTTTTGCTTTTGGCTCTTTTAGGGCTGATAAAAAATTTGTACAAGATAAGCTAGTCAAGAACACAGAGCTTAAGCACTCTGATGTATGTGTACACCAGGAATATCAGTAATTGGCACCCAGTTACTTTATCTAGGCAGGCACTTTCACGTGACTGTACCTGTACTTCTTGTTTCCAAATTCTAATCTGTATCAAATAAATTTGGTTCAGACCCCGTTCTGAATTTGCCAGGCTTGCTCTGCACTTGCAGAGTATCATGATGTGGCAGTGATAAATACAGCCTGGAACAGTAGGTCTTAGGGAATGAGGCTTTTGGGTTTTGTCTTCTGTCAAGGGACAACACACCCCTCCAGGGAAAGGCTAGCTTGCTTCATGTATTGTGCAGGACAATTCTACTGATAGCAACCAGGTTCTGATGATTCATCCTGTGAAGTACGATCTGGCTCAGTGTGTCTGGGGACCCCAAACACCTCCACTTCATGGCCTTTGTTTTTTTTGATGTATTAAAAAAGTCTGGCAGTATGAATCATGCAATTAAAGTTGCAAGTAAATGATTACTAATATCTTAATTCTAGGGGGTCAGTGTGTTTCCTGCATAAGAATATTTATTTTTAATAACCTAATTGATGCTTGCTAATTCTCTTTTCTGAATTCAACTGAATCTCTGTATCCACACAATAATTGGGGAGGACAAGGAGTTGGTTTTGTCTGTGCTAAAGTTAGAGATAAATTAAGTAGGCTGAAAGCTGTGTTATGAGTGAGATGAGATAGCAAAAAAACAATGGAAGAACGCATATTTCCTGTCTAATCTCTGCACTGCTGCTCAATGTGATGCTATGCAGGAGTGCTGGGTTACAGCACGGCACCATGCATTGGTATGAAAGATCAGCAAGTCATTATTACTGGGTTGCACCACTTAGCTCAACGAGGTTACTTGATGGGAGGCTTCTGAAGTCTCTTAATTACTCAAAATTTGGTTTTGCCATGATGTTTTTTGTTCTGTCCTAAACTATTTTTGCAGTAAAATAAATTCTGTTGAAAGAATTGGAGAAATGTGCATTTGTTTCAGTGTGTTTTTGTGTGTGTGTGTGTTAAAGGAGCCAGCCACCATAGACTTCAGTGTGCTGGTGGAGGGCTGGAGGATTCCATTAAATCCCCTGGAATCACTCCAAAGTGCACTCAGTTTCTTTGAGTGCAACAGAAGAAAGTTTGTAGCTTTTTCTTCATTAAATCTAATATGCTGTCTGGGATTGTGGGAGATGAGTTTGGACTTGTGTGTCCCTTAAGTACTGTGCTTATGTCTCTTGAGATTCTGTACTTGAATGTAGCTGTGATTCCCTGGTAGTGACTACTCTTCCATTGTTGTATCTGCATGCTGGACCCTAACCCTTTCCATCTCGTTTCTAAGGTTGTGGAGTTGTACAGAAACTGGAGCACAGGTCTTGGGATGGTCTGTGAAAGAGCTGGTGCCATTTAGCTTGACCATATTATATCAGATGAATCATCGGGGTAAGATGTCACTCTGTGCCAGCTGCCAATCTGTCTTGCAGTTCTTATCCACTATTTCTATTTTGTAGTTTTTTGGACCTAAGCACATCATATCAGCATTCAGTCTCACTCTCTTTGTTGTTTTTTTGTGTGTGCGTGTGCAATTTTATCTTTACTGCGTGTGAATTGAGAGGCCAACCACTTGGATGAGCCAGGGCAAAGAAATCCAGTTGATGTCAGCATGTCTGTGCTGTGCTGGCAGCAAGGCACCCTCTGTGCTTTCCTCTCCTTCCTTGGCATTCATAACAAGCCCCGACCTCTGCTGTCCTGCAGGAGAACCTGAAGCTGACTCATCCAGACCATTTCTGACTCACCTGGAGCACTGATCTTGAATCCTGTTCGTGTACATGGAAAATTTTATGGGGTCAAGCACAGAACCCAGCCACCGCACTCATCTGTGTCGACCTGGTCCTCCTGTCATGTCTGGTACAGTAAGCAGTAAAATACCATTAACAGGAAAATTCAGGTGTTCAAATAATTCATTCTCCAATTTCCTGTTACTGTTAGGAAGTGTTGGAACATTACTTCTTTCTGCACAAAATATTCCTCTTTTCTGTTAAACTTCAGCCATGCATTATGCAGCATTTGTCACCATGCTCCTCTCTGAATTAGTACAAGAGCTCCAAGGTACTTTGGTTGTACATGGAAGGAATAATAATAATTACTAGCTCATTTGAGTTTGTCCTAATTTTGCCATTCCACCTGAAGGCAAAGGCCAAAAAAATTCAATTCAGAACCTGTTTTCATTTCACATTATGAGAGATCTAATCAAGGAGAACTCTTCTTTTTCATGCATCTCAATGTAAGAACAGAGTAGCTGCCCACAATACAGGTTATGTGAAGCATCATAAAAATTTAAAAGCAACAAATGTCACAACTTTCTGTTTAGTTTGTTTATGATGTGAGTTTTAGAGCCCGTCAGCCTCGTAGCTTCCAACTGTTCTCTGTAACTATGGATATCAGGGAGATTCTGGGGAATTTTGGCTGATGTTTTTAATTGATACTTTGTGTTGTTCCTTTTAGGAAAATGCTAACTATCACAAGCTGGCAGTGAGTCACAATGCTGCAATATTCCCCCCTGCACAGAAGCAGCCACGTTCTGGGCTCTCAGATCTATTATTTTTTTAACCCCAGAAGCAAACTACTAAGCATTACTGCCAATCTTAGGCTTGAATGCAGGGATTCCCACCAGCAGACCAGAATAGCTGCTATCCAGGCAAGTTTTGTGCTTGAGGTACTTCAGAGTTAATTCTTATCATCTTTTCTGAATTCTCTTAAAATAAGGGACAGTTATCCTGCCCCAATGCTTTATAACCCCTATGAATGCATCTGTATCCATAGAAGAGTCTGTGCCCCAGCACTTCTCAGCCTTCCCAGTCCATATTTATCTGTGTCATCACAGATAAGCCTTCAAAAGACTTCTCACTACAAAGCAGAGACAGAGGAACAAACACAGATCCATGGGTTGTGCTCAGGACTGCTCCTATGGATCTGATCCAGCAACTTGAGCAGCCTCAAGTTGCACCAGGAGAGGTTTAGATTGGATATCAGAAGAACTTGTTCATGGAGGGGGTGGACAAGCATTGGAACGTGCTGCCCAGAGCAGTGGTGGAATCACCATTCCTGTCCTTGCAGGTATCTAAGAGATGTGTGGACATGGCACTAATGGACATGATTTAGTGGTGGGACTCAGCAGGTCAAGTTGATGATTGGGTTTGATGATCCTGAAGCTTGGATCTGATGGAGATTCAGGGCTCAGACCTTATTTTTGCTGCATGGTTCTGCAATGTGGGCCTCAGACTTCCCCTTGGTCACCCATGTCAGTGGCCTGACACTGCCTGCACAGTGACAAATCAGACCAGAGCTGCAGGAGGGACTGATGTCTCTTCCCAGTCACCTGCATCCAGGGCCACCACAGATGACAGATTTCTGCTTTGTCCACCAGGAAAACTTCTGCCAGTATCAAATGAAGGTCAGAGAATGGAGCAGAGAGATGGCCTCATTTCAGCCTGGCAAGGGGATCTGCAGCCAGGAGCGTGGGTGCATTGTGCAGGACATGGGTGCTCTGCTTCTGCTGGTACCTTTGGGCTATCTCCTGCACCAGAAGAACTAGGGAAGGGTTTGCATTATTATTATTATTTTCTCTATCTCTTCCTGCTAACAAGATATTCCTCTGGACAATCTGAAAGCTCACGCTCCATCTCTGGAGGTTTTCAAGGCTAGGCTGGGTGGGGTGTGGATGGTCTGATCTGGTCAGGGGCAAGCAGCCACAGCAGGGGCTTAGGATCAGATGGGATTTAAGGTCCCTGCCAACCAAAGGCATTTTATGATCCCACTTTGCCTCAGCTCTTTGAGGAAGGCACAGTGGGAGTAGGGCACTGGTGGAGATGGAAGGAAGGCTGTGAGCATAGAGAGCCTGCAGTAAGGCAACCACTGGAGAAAATCCAAGAGTTTCTCATCTCCTTCCAGTGACCTGGTGCAGTCAGTGTGTCACGTTCCTCCATTCAGGCATTTAACATTGCCACCATGACTTTGGCCATTGGCACGAGCCACATGAACCCATAAGGTTGGCCACAGAACACCAACGTTATGAGTTCATATGGTTGGGCTAAAGGCAGGCACACCCAAAGCAGGGTGCCAACGCTCAGGTGGCTTTTGGAGGGTTCCATAGCCCCTCTCTGTGAGTTTCTATCCCTTTACAAGGAGTAAAGAATGAGTGGTAGAAATGCTTATGGGTTCCATCCAGGAGATGGCAGCAGCATCCCTCACACATTCCTATGGCAACGGGAGCGGTGCATCCCTGGGCTGGGGGGGGTTGATCGTAAGGGTTGGGAAAGGCATCACCTCCCAGCAAGTAGCCCTTCTCCCTGCTTGTCTTTGCTCTGCTCCTCGCCTGGCAGCACGGTGACGTGATGGAGGTGACAAGCAGGATGTTTCTGCTGAATCAGTCTCTTTTCTTTTTGCAGGAGGGAAAAGCTGCTGCAAAACTTGCAAGCCGTAGCTTGGATCCCTTCGTGCTGCTCGCAGACAGCTAATGTGCAGAGCTCGGTAAGCTGGCTGCTTTCTCTGCTCCCTGCTTCCCCGAGAGCTGCCACCCAAACTAAGCTGCTTAGTGCATATGGCATAATCCATCCTCCAGCTTGTGGCAGGAGCAGCGGTGGGAGCTAATTAGCGTTCACTAATAGGCATGTTAACAACATCTTGCTGCTACAGCATCGTGGCCGTTGCCGGAGATTTGCACGCTGAATTTTTTGCAGTTAGCACCATGAAATGCTGGCTGTCACTAGGGACCTGTCCTTCAGTGGCTGAGGGCACACGCATCGGGGTGAAGCTCTGGGACCTCAGCCTGCACCAAGAGGCTACAATGAAATCATCTTGAGAGTAACCAAGTCACCGTGGGCATGGCCCAAAGAGTTCCTCCAGGAAGGCAAAGGAGCATTGGGAAGATGTTCTTAAAGTTGGTTGCTCTCTTAATGCTTTACGTTTGGCCATTCAACCTGATGCTCTCTAAAGCCCTTTTCTAATGTTATTTAGCAAATTGCTCTCTGAGCTGTTTGCCAGCTCTAAGCCTGGAGCCGATGAGTGACACAGGTCCCGCCCCAGCTCTTCTCTCTGGATCATTCCCTTTGGGATTGCAGCTCCAGCAAGAGGTGCTGACAGTGCTGTGATACCCCGCGACCTGATGCAGCACAACCCTATGTTTCCCTTCTGCTGAGCTGCTCTGGCTGCTGAATTGCTGTGCTTTCACGTCCCAACTATGGCCTAGCACAGCAAATACAGCTCTGTAGGGAAAAAAAAACAGCACATCATGAGCTATGGGGATCTATGGATATCTTTCAGGTGACTCCAACTCTTTATAGGTTTGAGTTCCTTCAGTACAAGCATTTTATTCCTTGGAGAGGAAGCATTGGGGAGGTCCCACCTTATTTCCTTTTATAATTACAAAAGCTTTTGTCAGCAGTGATTTGCCCTATCCCTGAGGAGTGGAGAGGGTGCCTGTCAGACACAGCCCTGGGGAAAGCTGCTCCTCAGCCCCACGTGGGATCCAATGCAAAGCTGTGCCAACCTCTGCTCTGGCTGTGGGGAGACGGTGGTGATGGGTTGAGGGTCGGACTTGATGATCTTAGCACTCTTTTCCAACCTTAATGATTTGATAGGAGCTGGAGCCAGCATTTCATGCTCACAGCTCTCACCTCAGAGACCTCACAACACGGTGGGCACGTGGCCCAAATGACCCCATAACTGCAAGCCCGTTCCTGTGAGATGCTGCATGGCTTCATGTTTTTTCCTCTTCTCATTTTCCCCACTGTTATTATTTGCCTGACTGGCAGAAAGGACTCATGCTGAGTTTATGCAGTCATCCCAGAGAACTGTCTCTCTCCTGCATACCAAGGCATTTTGGATAAATAGAAAGCTAGAATAAAAAGTAAACTGCTTATGCAGGCAGCAGAAAACAATATTTGCAGAACACAATGACATCACTGTGCAACATTAAGGTTGGAATA